TTACTCGCGCAACTTTTCTTGAACGAGGGATTGAAGAAATGCGGGTAGAGTGAGGGTTTTAGTTTCGAAATCGGCCACTAGATTTTATGAAGAAATGCCAATCTCTGGAGAATCAGTCATGCCTTCGCAACATTGTCAATAATTTGCGTTCTAACTTTCTCAGGAGTTCGAGATATTTCCTGTGATAGATCTTTACCTGCTTCGGTCATTTCTTTAGATATTTTGGGAGAAAATAATAGATAGAAGTTCTCGATTACAAAAGAAAAATGTTTCTATTTATCGACAGTGAAGATGTGTTTGGAATGTTATCATCAGTGCTCCCTGCGAGCTATTGCCTTCAACTGTTTATTGAGCCAAGGAGGGGGGAAGCAAGGTCATCGTTCAAGAAAAGTTGAGTAATAACTAGGATACTAAACGTATAGTGAGATTTTTATAAGACTGGACCGTTTTGACAGCTAGTGCTGGCAACATAACTGAAGGTTCTGTGGTCGTTATGTCCTTGAGCCTATAAGACTATCCTTCCTCCAGTCGTTCGTTTGCAGTTGGCTAGCTTGTAAATGGCTTCGACGCTTCCTTGTGTGATGTCGTCGTCCGACGAAAATGTAGTGCGCCACGAGAAATAATTGAAATTAGAAAGTGCAGTGCTACTGGACTCTTCTGTAAAAAATATTTTTTATAAACATTACTTTGAATTTACTTTTTGTACGATAAGTACAAAAAGTATTTATTAAAGAAAGTTTATTTGAAAACTGAGTTTTGAATGTCAGACGCGCACTGCCTCACGAGTTTCCTGCTCCTGTGCGGTTAAATGGCGAGCTGTGATCGAGAACGTTCCGTTATTGCGTTTTATCAATTTTTACATAATTACACGGTTCTGACCAATGAGAAGCCATGTCTTTATGGGAGCCATGTACAAACAAACACTTTAGGAAGAAGTGTAACTGAACAGCTGTCGCGGCGGAGAGATCCATCTCTGAACTTCATGAGATGCTCACTTGTTTACACAACTGTCATTTTGGCTCATTCTTAGGCACATTCTTTTATATTTTAAGACTGCTAATGTTTGTAAACACAATAACACATATTACATTTATTTCACTGTTGTGTACATTTTCTGTTGTGTTTTACAACGTTTCGTAATTCAGACAGCAGTTTGCAAGTTGAGATACTTTTACATGTATTGTTATCGTACACGTACGTAACACGTTTTGTTAAGATATGTATTGTTAAATATATCATAAAATATATTGTTAATATATTTGTTATATATTTGTTCCATCTGAAAAAATTGCATAAAATGAAGTTTAGTAAATAAAATGAACACTTTTAACCAAAAGTGTTACGTAAATATGTCTGAATGTGGACCATAACATATCTCAAAGTATTCGAGTTCTCAATTCGGAATTTGGTGCCTGCGCGTTAAAAACAAGTGCCGAAACGTTGAAGAATAAAACAGGAAATGTATACAACAGTGAAATAAATGCGAAATTTATTATTATGTGTATAAACATTTTCTGTCTTAAAATACATTTGGGATTTAACTTAATAGTCACGATCTAATAGATAGTAGGCCTTTAAAGATTCGAGAAGTGTCAACTCTCCTCGAAAGTTGCTTCTCAAAATATTTAGGGGATCATTTAAACAAGTTGTAGCATAGACATACCTACAGGTAGTGGTAGGGGACGTGTTGTGAGTATGAATGCGCTGCATTGTGTAAAGGAATCTAAAAGTATTGGAGCCAGCACAATTCAGCACAAGCCAGCCAAGTTCAATGAGAGGACTTCACATATAAATAATAAAAAAAAAACTTTTAAGAGTGATATAAACATAATTAAAACGCCAATTTAAAGAGAAAATTATGAAGTTAAAAAATACCAAAAAATTATTGTTTGAATACAAAATTTTTCCGAGCCTCCAGCAATGGACGTCTTTGAGCTTTAGTTTGTTTGGAACAATGGTTTAAACATGAAATTATTTAAATTTAATATGATTGCTATTTATATCATTTAATAAAATTCGAAGTAGTAACTTAATATTCGGTTCATTACGACATTTCACGTGTCGGACACAAAACAGAAAAACTGTGACCTTTTAATTTTTATTTTTTTGTTAGGTAAGTGGTTAGGAAGTGTTTGAAATTGTTGAGCTACGAATGACTTGAACGGTTTTGTGTTACGTTTAACGATAAAATTCGACCATGGTGTACGTTTCTAAATACTGTGTCAAAAAAATATACGTTGGCATTTGAAAGCCTGTCCGCGCCCACCTCGTGGTCGAAAATGTCCCGAATGGGCAGCTCGTAGTGGGAGCCCCAGGAGAAGCCGGCGTGCAGGAGGTCTCGCACCGAGTCGAGCGGGCGGGCGGCGAGCGGCAGCGACAGGTAGAGCGCCAGGCGGCAGCCGTAGGCCGACACCAGCAGCAGCGAAAGCGCCGCCCACGCCGCCAGCAGGCAGCGCCGCCGCGGGCGGGCGCCCGCCGGCGAGGCACTCGACGACGTCTGCAGCAGCGCGCCCAGCAGCGCCAGCAACCCCGCCCCCGCCTCCTCCCCCGCACCGTGTCCATGCCCTGCCGGGGGCAAAGGCCGGTCAGGGCTGGCGCAAGTTATTTCCAGTCATTAATAATAGTTATGTTTATGCACGGATGTAAAGAAATCTATCCTTGGCGAAATAGAGCAAAAACAAATCGTCTGGTACGGTCATGTTACGCGAATGACAGATGAAAGATGGCCAAAACGAGTCCTGCAATGGATGCCGACAGAAAGGCAGAAGAGAGGAAGACTCAGACTTGCATGGCAGCAAGAAGTGCAAGAGGCTATGACGACAAGAGAATGGCAAAGATGATCTATGGTCAAATAAGAGAGGCATGGAGACTGAGAGAGGAGAACGTCTCTCTGCTCTCTCTCTCTCTCTCTCTCTCTATTTATATATATAATATATAACACACACAATATTATGGAACAGGATGTTATACAGGGTTTGTGGCGTCTTCCGGGGCAATAAATTAACAGACGTGAACGGCTGTAAATATTTAGTAGTATTAGAATTAAAATAACTCCGACACCATAATACTATATACATATTTACAAATACATTGACCGTTACAAAAGGAACTTTCCCCCTGGTTACCAACTACCGGCTGGCCCGATAATTAAATTACCATGTTCGGTGTGATGCACCAGTAACTTACGCGAGCATACGCAAGCGAGTATGCCGTACCGTACGCGTCAGCGACGTATCACGCCGGCTTCGGTTCCGACCGCCTGCGGTCTCGCTAAATGCATTCCCAATGCAACGCCGCGCACAACGCCCACACCGACGCCTTAACCGAGCGCCCCGAATAGAATGAAAACAGAAGATCGAGCTAGGTCGGGATGCCGCTGATATACGCCTTCTGGGCAGGCTGACGGAACTGCGTCAGCCCGCAGTGTTCCGCCGACGCCGTTTCCACCGTGTCCGGGGACCTCCCGTTTCCCACCGCACGAAACGCCCTTACCCTTGCTCCCTAGCTTTGTGCAGCCCAGCGGTCCTCTTCCCACGCAGCGCTGGTCCCGTGGCTGAATATAGTACGTTTGTATCGGCGACAGAATGACGCCACAGCTTCTAATCATCAATCGGCGGAAAAAAATGCAGGAGGGCGTATTCCGCGAGGGCTTTTGTCGCCCGATATCATAATGTGTGCACATAACTAGTTAATTCACATAATAATACATTCATTTTATTTGTACCTATTTTATTGACTAAGATTTATATATTTACTACATTAAGTGGATCATTACACTTGAATTGTGGTGTTTCTCGTCATAGTTTTCCTCCCATAACTCACATTTATAAATTCACGTCTCAAAAATCTCCTGTGTAAGAGAAACATCGCGGCGGTGGCGAGCCACACGGCGAGAAAGAACACTCCTCCACCGTGACTGCAGCCGGCCGTGCAGGCAGCGCTCGGACACGGCAGGGGAGTCCATGGCGGCCAGGGCCGCGGCCGTGGCGAGCCACTACCTTGGCGCGGAAAAAGACACTAATCATTCCATCCTCCCGGTGGAGCGAGGCGCTTGCAAGCCGCCGTGCAGGCAAGCGCACGGCGCGAGGGCGAGCGCCATGGGCGGCCAGGGCGCGGCCGTGGCGAGCCCGGTGGCGCGAAATTACACTAATCAATCTATCTTCACCGTGAGCGAGGCTCTGCAGCCGGTCGTGCAGACAGCGCTCGACGCGAGGGCGAGCGCCATGGCGGCCAGGGCCGCGGCCGTGGCGGAAGCGCACTTGGCCGCGAAAGACACTAATCAATCCATCCTCACCGTGAAGCGAGGCGCTGACGCCCGTGAAGGCAGCGCTTCGGCCGCGGAGGGCGAAGCGGCCTTGGCGGCCAGGCCGCGGCCGTGGCGAGCCACACGGCGCGAAATACACTAGATCAATCAATCCTTTCACCGTGAAGCGAGGCGCTGCAGCCGGCCGTGCAGGCAGCGCAACGGCGCGGAGGGCGAGCGCCCATGGCGGCAGTGCCGCGGGCCGTGGCGAGCCAATGGCGCGAAAATACACTAATCAATCTATCTTTCAACCGGAGCGAGGCGCTGCAGCGCCGCGCGTGCAGGCAAGCGCTCCGGCGCGGAGGGCGAGCCGCCTGGCGCCAGTGCCCGCGGCGTGGGCGAGCACATGGCGCGAAAAATACACTAATCAATCTATCTTCACGTGAGCGAGGCTCTGCAGCGGTCGTGCAGACAGCGCTCGGCGCGGAGGGCGAAGCGCATGGCGCCAGGGCCGCGGCGTGGCGAGGCCACTTGGCGCGAAAAAGACTACTAATCAATCATCCTCACCGTGAGCGAGGCGCTGCAGCGCCGTTGCAAGGCAGCGCTCGGCGCGGAGGGCGAGCGCGCAATGGCGGCCAGGGGCGCGGCGGGGTGGCGAGCACGTGGCGCGAAAAAGACAACTAATCAAATCCATCTCACGCGTAGCGAGGCGCTGGCAGCGCGTGCAGGCAGCGCTCGCCGCGGAGGGCGAGCCGCCATGGCGGCCAGGGCCGCGGCCGTGGCGAGCCACATGGCGCCGCGAGAAGGGCGGCGAAGACGCCGCCCAGGCCCGCGGCCGGCGCCGGGGCGTCGGCGCCAGGAAGGCCCACGCAGCCTCGCTGCCACGGGCGGGCGCTCAGCGCCACCACGCGCTGCTTGTCTTGCGGCTACAATGATGATATCACTACTACCAGAGGGGGTTTCGGCTAAAGCGAGCGGACCGACAGATATGAGCAGGAGTCTGACGGAGACTCAATTCCTGGTTTTGGGTGGAAACTGGTTCTGGTGGGGTTTGGGCGGAGTTTCAAATCATTTGAGGTGAGCTTTAGACTATGTGAAGAATGGATCTGGATCATGCCTTCTTTAATAATTTTTTGTTAAATTGAGTTTAGTCACACTAAGTACTTTGATGGCTTTAATTAAAACAGAATATCACTGCCTTATTCAATATATAAATTACATGTGATACACATATTCAGCAAACTTTTCGAATAACAATGAGACTCAATCTGGGCGTTGGTCACATAAGTTGGCAAACTTATGAACCTAAACCACTAATCTTGGATATCCGGGAGACGCCCGCGTCGTCGCCTAGATGTCGCAGGTTCCTCTAGGGCGTAACCAGTGTGAAACGTTGGCCTCTCAGCCAACGCGCGGGCGTCTCTCGGATAGCCCAAGAATTTACTGGAATCGAGCTGCGGAAGCTTACGTGTGGTAGCAACTTGGTGTGTCGTGTTTTATTGTTACAATGGTAAATTGCTATAATCAAATAGTGAACAAATCTTGTGTTTATTATTAATTTAAAATGAAGACTTTTATAAAACGGAAATGATTGGCTTACGTTATTAATTTAGAATAGGTTGCTTATATAGTTTTACCGGAAGTGGGAAAAAGTCGTTCTTCTCTCTTTCGGAAAGATTGCTGTTTTTTAGTATTTTATTGCATTCAACATACCTGCAAAATATTAGAAAAAATATCAGTATTAATATTTATTGCAATTTGCAAAACTTTAACTAAAAATTGGCCTCTTCACTTGCCTTGCTGATACCGAACGTTTACGCTATATTATTGTATTACAAATAATTATCATCATTATATGGTGAAATAAAGTTCCATGACATATCAGCATTCTCCAATAAGTTATGTGATCCGTTTATGATTTTAACTACAGAAAGAAAGTATGACCCTATTGTAGTCACGACTCTTAGTTTTTCATGTTAAAGGTAAACTGCTAGAGGAGGCAAGAAGTTTCAATTTATAAAATGATGCAACTGATACTGATATAGAAAGTATTGTTGCTAGCGTTACATTTTATATTTTTTGGTTTTCTTGAATTAAATTAAAATATAATTCAAAATAACATGATGTTCGCCAGCTATTGGGGCTTATTCTTTATATTGCATACTATTGTGAATATCTCAATACTATTTATTTAATCACACTCAATTACTTTATTTTTACTTTCACTACTCTCCCCTCTATTTGATGCTGAGAATATAAAGAAAATGCCTTAATTCACATTGTATTTTGTATTTATTTAAGTATTTTGAAAATAATTTCTTAGTGTTTCAGTTTAACACTCTGCACACACAAAATTTAAACATCATGTAAAGTAATTTACAATGAGAGTTTAATTCCATTCAAAATAACTCACAAATTAAATAGTTTTAAATTTTTTATTGAATTGTACAATATAAAATTGAACGTTTCAACGCAGCAATATTCTATATTTTTACCATATTACCCAAACGATGTGTCACACATCACTCTCTTATGCAATGTCATGTTTACATTGAAATTATAAACAAATTTTTTAACGTTTTTAATTTTATTTTTCTGAAAAAATTAACATCAATTATTTGTTTGAGAACTATGATAGGCCTTTGAGCATTGGGGTCCCTGTCTCAGGCGCCCGTGCTTAACATGAACCCTTGCTTGTGGCAAAATATTGGCCAGTTAAAGAATTATCTAACATTTACAATAATTCTTTAACAATTTTACACTCAATCTATATTAGAGATGCGTATTAATAACATAATGTTTCATAAGTAATTGATCAGGTTGCAGTAAATAAATATAACTTTCTATTAAGTTGATAGCCCAAGATTCTTTTACTTATATTCACAGAGCTAGTTTTATTGAGGTGAATAGATGGGTGCTTTGTTCGAACATTTTTGTTTGAGTAACTGTAATGATTCACTTGAGTTTTTATTTAGCATTTTTTTAAAAATTTTTTTCTAATAAAATAATATCAAATTGATTATGGTATATTTTGGGTTAAGTTTGGTTATTTTATATTATGGGCTTTAAGGCTATTTTTGTTCTAATTAACACGTCTTATTATTTTAATATTGTTTAATAATCTATGTGTAAATAAATAAATACATAGTTAAAAACATGTTTTTATTATTGAATAATATCTCTAAATCATTATAATAAATGAGGGTATTTCCAAGTAAAGGAAAAGGTCAATGTTATATTCAGGCACGCAATCACAAAGTGCTCTAATTCATTTAAATTTCTCAACTGCATAATTAAATTTTGATTAATGTGAATCTTGGATTGGTACATAGGTAATATGTAAAACGTAGAGCCGAGAAGTTCTGGCTTTCTTTACCTAAAATAGGCAGGCAAAAAGGCGTATTTTTACCATATTAGGCATCACAAGTCCATTTATTTAAGTGAAGTAGGGATGCATAAAAGCCAGAAAACAATGAAAAATCACAATTTATAAAAAAGAAGAGGGCAACACTGAGAGTAATGCTTCATGGTATGGCAAGTTGTAAAATATGTAATATTAGTAGTAAATATATGTATTCAATTTAAACAAAAAGATGAATAAATTGTATGTTAAAACTAAAAATATTTCACAATCACCAATAAAGATGATTTTACAAAAGATGCATTGTTCCAACAAAAAATAATTTAATAGTTGTTGGTTCAGCCTTGTTCAAACTGAGTGAGCAATTATTTGTGTTTTTTGTAGAATATTTATTAATCCATAATATGATACTCTCGGATTTCAATATCTACAGAAAAAAAGGTTAATTCTGTGAATCAAAACAAAAAATATCTTACATTGTGATCATTGATGTAGATGTTAGTTTGTCCTGTGTCCAACAATGATAAGAAACATAGATTGCTGTAGTATGCCACTACCATTGCCGCCTCCTGATTCTCCTTTTCGTGACAGTCTTTGGGTTCACAAAAAGGTTCACCTTCCCTAAAGGCAACAGTTTGTAATGGCTGCTTCAGGAAATATGGTCTGCTTAGTTTAAAATTCATGTCAGAAAGTATATATTATTCTGAAATTTCATCAAACATAATGGTATTTATTGTATTCTTCTTTTATGATCTAGTACATTGCTAGAGAGAAAAATAATGTAATCCATTTAAAAACTAAAGGATAGTAAATATCTCAAAACTAAAAAATTTCAAACATATCTCTACATCGTTTACTTGCACACATTAATTCTGAATTCTTAAGCAAAACTGCATTTCAATATTGTAATCCATTCAGAATTTAATGGGGATGGCCCACAGTTGGTGGGACAACCACATCTTTTATAATGCTTTTTAATCTTTTGAAATAAAATGAAATAGAATAATATTTTGTACTATTCAAAATACTAAATTTTGGTATGGTATATATATGTTTAACTTTGAAAAGCTTTTCTTTTATATGGTGATGTCCAATGTTGAGTATTATTTTCTGCTCAAACTGAATTAGACGGCTTTCATATTTAAAAACGTTTGACTATAATTAAAGTCAAGTTTAAATCAATAGGATTTATTTTTTTTCCTCATAAGGAATTCTGAAATTTACATAAATATTACATAATATCACCAATTTCACTCATTACAAATCCACAAAACTCATTAAGGGTGAGTAGAACCAAAAAAAAACACAACAAAACAAAACACAATTTAAGAAATTCAACTAATAAACGAAAACCTTGCAAAACAAGTAAATAAGACATCATCGCAAGATTTTATGCCAACATTAGGCTAATAAACAAATATAACAAATTGTGATGCGAGACAAAAGAGCATAATCTTTTTAATGAGTGGCAAATTACTCTGTGTACATAAAGTGTATTTTTTCATATTTCACTATTAATTTTCATTTGTTTGAATTTAATTTGCTACACTTTAATTGCAAACGTAATTAACTATTTGTTTTATAATTAAAATATATCATCATTAGAAGTGTATGTACACAACCACAAGCTGTGGTGTGGAATTGTAAATTTCAAAACTTGGCAAATCTGTGAAATGTGGTTTTTAATCTTTGGAACATGATAATACCTATGGAAGCACACTAAAAGTAATGATTATGTAGCTTCTTAGTACTATTAGTATAAATATTGTGGAATATTGATGTTTATAAAATTATTTAATACTGCATCATTAATTAAAGTAATAAATAAAAAATTTATTTTTCTTTGTTATTGCAGCTTGTAGGGCACGGGTTTGTTGAAACGTATTTTTTAACTGCACTTTATAGCCCATTAAATAACAGTAAAAAACTCTTAGACTGCTCAAAACCTATGTAAAAGAATGTCCAGTTACTGTAAAGATGATTTTTACAAAAGATGCATTTCCGCAAACAAATAGATTTACTGTTGTTTGGATCACTCACTGCTCTCACTGAAGTGTCCAATTATTTGTTTTGTGTAGAATTATAACGCATAAAGGGATGTTATTTTTAATATCTACAACAGTTTACACTACAACATTAATTTAATTATTTGTTGTCATGAAGTAAATTCTCATGACTTTTTTTGTAGGTCACTAGACTTATATATTCATTTGAATCAAGACGTGGAACAGAGTGATCATGATACCTAAAGACTTTGGTAATAAACGCCAAAGAAATTCAACATTCTGCAATTTTCAAATTTTGTGCTTATATGTATATCGCAGCTTAAATATCTTTCTAATGTTAATGTAAAAGGTAAATAGGGTCTTATAAACACTTCATTTTATTTTCTTGTAATTGCACAATTTGCCTATATTATCTTGAAATTTTTATGGCTAAGTCTTGATACCATCATCTCTCGCCCATGCATTTCAGGTTACTTATTGCCACTATACACTAATTTTTAATGCTTGAAAAATTCTGTTGTATTCCTGGAAGAACTTCACATCTCTAACAGCAATTCTAAAAGTGTTGTTTCAGAGTTGTAATAAACATTTTAATTTTGTAATACTTAGATACCTATAAGGGATTATTTAGCATGCATTTGTAAAGAAAGTGGAGGAGCGATTGAAGTTATTTTCCAAATCAATGAGTGAATTTATTGTGCAATTTCTGCACAAGTAGTGATTATTTATTTCAAATGTAATCAAAAACAAATGTAATATTATATAATTTATATTGATGGTGTAGGTACGTTTCTTCTGAATTAATATTAAAGTATTTTTCAAAAACTTATAAACAGGGACACCCCAGAGGCCAAAAAGGGCCTGGGGCAGTAGTGTCTGTGGGGGACCTGTTATTTCAAACGAAGTTTCGCCACATGAGTAGTATACACAGAATTCCAGTCTTCATGGAAAAGAAATAACTTATTGTGTTAATTTGACATAGAAGTACTTTTAATGAGAATTACCTGCTTACAAAATCATAGGTTTTATTAACTGTACTGTAATGCTATCTCTATATCACTACATTTAAATGTACAAGGAATATTAGAGAAAGACTTCTCTCTCATGAGTAATATAGCTCAAAAACTTACTGCTGATTGAATATTTTCTAAAAATTATTTTACTGTTATAGCCAAAGTAATTGTAGATACTTCTATAGTATACATAATATTAATAGATGTAAATAAACATTACACATGAGAAGAAATCTATTACTCATAAATATTGATATGACTACTAATTTTTGGGAACAATTAATACCGTGGCACTTTATGTCAATTTAATAATTGTGCTACTTTTTGGTTTTTCGTTCAATAATTCAATTGAAGTGAATATCTTGGTTTGGGTGCTAAAAAATGAAATATCTTTGCTACTAACGTTTCAGCTCTATACTGGGCTATGATAGCTGTAACAAGATTTTGTTTTCTAAACCCAAACATTCTTCATAACACTTTTCAACCACATGTTTAATAACAAGCTTTGTTAAATTATACTTTATCAACATAATAAAATGCGGTTTGATATTTTCTTTAGAGTTACCAGATGTAACTATATTTTAAGATTTCTTAGTACTCCTTTTATACTCTCGCTTTTTTATAATAATAAAATATAATAATAATAATAATAATAATAAATAATAATAATATAATATATATATAATATTTATTGAGTCACATAATACAATTACAATCGTTCAGGAGCAAACAAGGGGCCTCTCAGCATTTGCTTGCAAAGGACCAGGGAAACTGAATCAAAACTGATAGAGATGGGACTACTTATAAAATTATATTAATAATAATTCATTATATTATTATTAATATTAATAATAATAATTACATTAAATAATACATATCAATTATGGTTGCACACTACATAAATTTAAACAATAGTAGTACATTCTATATTTATATACTTGGAATGGTGAGGAGGCCAAAGTTTTGATCAAGTATTTTTTTTCTTCTTCTATTTCTCCTTTCTATTCACAGGATGTGATAGCTGTTCTTAATGTCATTCTTTTTGCACTATTTTTTTCATACTCGTATAAAGCATTTTAAACTTTTATATACCTGTATAAGCGGTTTTTTAATACTTAAATAAAAAAATGATTACATTAATTTTCAAAGAATATTTTGCTTTTCAAAAGGGTTTTCTTCTGCTTCAAATCTGAAATGAATTTTAAAGAATATTTACTGATTGTCAATGTGAAATCAATACAATAAGTTGTTTGAAGGATTTATATTAAATTTTATTTTTGAATATCTCCAAAAAGTTTGACATGAAATACAAACAATTTTGAACAAACTGTTGTTGAAAATTGGATATGAAAAGATTTTCTTCAGAAACAGAAAATCACAGAGTAAAGAACCTATTATCAAAAACTATGAAAATTATGAATGTCAAATCAACAGTTTGGTTCTCCCTGATAAACAAACAAAATGTACGTTTTAGAAAAGAAAATTCTTAACTCACTCTCAATGATCATTGTTTTCTAATACTCGACAGGTTTGGTTATAGTTAATGATTAACCACCACTCTCAAATGTAATAATATAACGACAGAAGTTGTTCCGAGATAATTTTGTATGTTGTATTTTCTCTCTTACATTACACACCATTTATTTAATTTCAATAAAGTTTTTCGTTTGAGTTGGTAAACACAACAGACACTACATTATCACATTAGAACATTCTTCGAGGCGGGAATGCGCGGAGAGGGGAAAATATATTTTTGAAGGCAAGAGTGGTGATCAGGATTCAATTTCGGGTCAAGTTGGCTGTTTGGAGCAGAAATAATTTCAGGCCACATATTGCTGTCCAGTGTGCTGAAATTGAAAGCTTTATAGTTGCTGTTTTCGCGTGGTCCCTGATTGCTGTTCAACGAAAAGGTAAATGTCCGAAGATAAGTACCTAAATCTATTTACTCATTTACGAAATGATTAAAAGTGTGGTTCTAATCTTTTAGAGAAAATGTCTGAAGAGGTGAATCCAAAAGCTTATCCATTAGCTGATTCACACTGACGACCCAAGATCTGTAATATTGTTCAGCAAGCCTAATGAATTAATAAGCATACTTAGGAAGGCGCTAATGTGAAGCCACACAAAAACCTTGAACAGAGGGATAGTCGAAGTTCATTGTCATGGCAGCTGATTAGAGCCACTTGAAATTCTTCTTACACTTGCCATTACTCTGCGAAGACAAAAATGCTCCTTTACACGTGTGTGTGAGATAAAGCAAGCTCTGTGGACCGTTGCTTGTGGTGTATCAAGACCTGGGTTGTTGCTTGTTCAATTGTAAGTGAATGAAGGTCTCAGTAAAACCAACATAACAACAGTTTCACAGGAAATTTGAACGATTATTAGTGTGATATGTTTTTGGGAATATATATTGAGTATGCATAAAAATAATAAAGGCTGGTTTACCAGACACAAGTGTAAAGCATTATCTGACATTTGGTTGGGTAATACATGTTTAGTTCATACATCATTACCATGTGGATAATTTGCTAGGGCAACAAGGTAACATCGCAGTTTCTGAGCGCCACTCTGATTCAATAATTGAATGTACACTTGTTTTCGAAATGTCAATAGAATATTTCTATTTATGAGTCAGGATTATGAGTAAGTTAAAATATAGTAACAGTCATTGGCTAATTCAATGGAATGTATAATAAATATACAAATTAAAGTCCATCGAGTTTCTACGAATAATGAATATTATATGAACGCGTTGAATCTATTCACGACCGTTTCTTGAGCCCTCCTGTGCCCACTTCCCCCTCTGCTACGTGAAAACAATCGAAATCGAAATAGCGGGTATCACACAGAGGAGAGATACAACTACTCTACTGCCGATGGTATCACAACAACCCTGTTAGACCATAATGCTTCAGGCACTAGTTTACTTCAGGTGCTGGCTCACCTCAAGGCAATGATAGATTTGAGCTTCTGTTGTCCAAGCATTTTAAGTAGGTACACAAGTACTTGAATTATGGAGGAAATGACAGAAGTAACATTTTCCTCCAAGAAACTATCTCCAACTCCTTCGAAACGGTGCATAGGGCACATCAAGAGGACAAATAATCTACAGCTAGAATTGTCGGAGGTATGAATTCGAAAAGGAGAGACAACAGGCATGCTGATTTTGACAGTGGTTGGCAATTACTTGAAACCTGGTGTGGTGGAACTAACTATATTATCTCACTCTTCTATTCAACTTGTCAAGAGAATTACTCCTCGTGTCCACCAAAAAGAATTGGATGCTATAGAAGTAATCATAATTCCCCAACCGCCGGGAGAAATATAACAAACTGCACGTTCATTTAGCATCGGAACACTCTGCCTAGCAAACGAAGGGTGCACGGACGCGCGAAATTTTGATGTTGTTGCGTACGAAATCTGTGCTCCGCTATAACTGTAAACTGAAGATTAATATTTTA